AAGTCTCTTAGCTGTCAGTATAGGAAAAGGAGAAAAAAAACCCCAAATCTTTTCCCTTTTCTCTCTCCTTCGCAGCTTAAAAATCTTCTTAGGGAACAATGTTATTGTTTTTTTTAATAGTTTCAATTACAGGGTACCTTATTTGTTGCTTTTGCTGTTTGACCCGGTCAACCAAAACTTTCTCTTCTTATCTTGCTCCTGCACATTCTTTTCCGGTCAAGTTCTTTGTGGTGGCCATTTCTGACCACCGCTACAACCGCCTTCGGGAAAGGGAGTAATGGCCAGCTGGGGAGGAGAGATGTGGCTCTCCTCAACCCTGCAGGCAGTCTCCCCCCTCTTCACCACCTCTATGGGGTGGCTTAGCCCCGAAACCAGCTGGCTCGGGGCGCTCCAGCAGCGAGCACGGATCGAAGCCTCGCAGAGACGAGGTTTTGGTCTGTCGCCAAAGAAGTTCAAACCGGAAGTCGCGTCCCACACATTTTGTAGTGAGGTTGTTTCTGATTTATTTTCCTTAAGGAAAAAGGCTATTTTTTTCTATATTATCAATAAATTCTTTTTCTTTCAAAATCGAATTATTCAAAGTTCATCTTGATCTTTTCCTCTGGCCCTTCCATTTGACTCTTATTGGATTATAGTCAGCCCAAGTGCTTATGTTAATATTTGCTTCCTGCATGTTAGGAATTAAGTCTGTTGACATCCAAATCATATCTATTCTTGACCATGATAAGTGCCTATTTGAGTAAAATGTAAATTGTCTACTTTTGCCATTCAATTATCTCCATATATCTTTAATACTCAATTCCTCTACCATCTTAAGGAACGATTTTGATAATGTTTTTTTTTTATTTTCTGTGTTATATAGTCCAGTTCAACATCTACAATTGCATTAAAATTTCCAAGAATACATATCTTATCATATTCCAATTCAATTATTTTTTATGTAATTTCTTATAAAATTCATTTTGCTTATTATTTGGTGCATATATTGCGATTAAGAGTATCTTGGAGTTGTTATCTATTATTTCAACCATTCTTCCTTCTTCATCTGTGTAGATTAACTTGGCTTTAATTGTATTTTTAATGTATAAAACAACTCCTCTTTTGTTTTGTTGTGCCAACCATGTGTATAAGTTGCCAATTCTAGAACAATTCAACAAATGTGCATACTGCTTTTTGATATGTACTTCTTGTATAGAAATTATAGTTTCTAGTTTGTGGAATATTTTTTCCTTTTAGTGGCTGAATTTAACCCATTTATATTTATAGAAATTAGTTTCTTTTCCTCTTCCATTATTTATACTTTATATGTAGGATTTATTGTTCTCGTTGATCTTTGTTCTTTTGGTTGTCTAGTTGCCACTTTACCATCTACTGTTTCCTCTTCCTCTTCTTTTTCCTCTTCCCATTCCTTCTCCATTTCTCTTGTTATCTCTGCTCGTATTTTAAGTTCATCTTCTCTTGCTTTCTCGTCTTCCTTCCTCTAAAATATTCATTATAAAATAGTTCTGCTCTCTCTATTGAATCTATTCTATGTCTTTGTTCTTGCCAAATAAATGTCAATCCTTCATGGATCAACCATCTGTAATTCACTTCTTCCTTAATTAAAGTCTTTGTCAGAAATTGGTAATCTCTTATATCTCTTCCTTTGCTTGGAATTTGTTTCAGTGCTATGATTTCCTTTCCCTTGTACTTCAATGTGTCATCTCTTGCTTTCTGTAGTATCTCTGTTCTCATTGTTTTCTTAGTGAATCTCACATGTACTTCTCTGGGTAATTTATTTATTATCACATATCTCGTATATACTCAATATATTTCATCCCTTCCATCCATCATTTTTTCTTTAGTTATCTCCAAAGGTCCTGCCAAAATTTCTGTCATAATTTCTGTGAAGTTTTTTCCCTTTTCCTCCTCAATATTTTGAAATCTTAGATAAAAATCAGCCTTATCCATCTCCCAAAATATTGAATCTTTCCCTTTTTCACTTTCAACTATTGTCAATCTATTATCTATTTCTCCTACTTTCTTATCTGTTTTATCACCTCTTTCTTCCATCTTCTGTATTTTTTCTCCATATATCGTTAACACCTGTTGTATATTTCCTTCCATCTTTTCCATCCTTTCCTCCAACTTTTCAATTCTGTCCTCTGTACGCTTCTCTTGATCTTGTGTTACTTCAGTCATTGACTTTATTTCCTACATTGAGACTTCTTTCTCTTTTTCTTTCTCTTGCCGAAGCATAGTTGCAATAGATCATTGACCAGCTGGGTTCAAGGATGAGGATGTAGGAATTGATGATCCAGTAGCAGTTATCTTTCTCATATCAAATCAAATTGTAATCCATTTGCAAAGGCCCAAGAAAAATAAAAATAAATCTTCAGGTTCTTCTCTATCTTAATCCAACTTTATCAAGAAAAAATGGAGATAAAGGATCCAAAAACAGGAAGGGAAACTATAAATCTAGAAAGGAGATAAAGTAAAAGTGTATAAAATTAAAAAAATCTGATGTAAAAAGAAAAATTTCCAAAAAAGAGAAAAAGAAAAGAAAATACAAATCCATCCACTTCAAAATAGAAGAGGAAAGGAAGAGGAAAAAACAAAAAAGAGGAAAAAAGAAAAAGAAAACCCACAGATGCCATATCCACTTGTTAGTCAAGCTATTGATGAGGAAAAAGAAAAAAAAATGGAAAAGGAAAAAAGAAGAAGAGAAAAAGAAAAACCAAAATTCCAAAATTAATCCAAATTGAGAGACTGGAATACAGAAAAAGAGGCACAGCATACGCACCAGCAGGGGAAAAAAAGGTGGAATAATACCAGCTGTAATTTATAAATCAACGTCACAAAATAAACCAAAGTCTCAGTGTAACATCCAGAAAGCCCAGAAAGCCAGAATCCAAAGCATATATATTATCCAAGGTCACAGTGTTTTTTTCTTTTCCTTTATCTTATTCAACTTTCCAGTTGTGTACAAGCTGTATGGGAGCAGCACCTGTTTTCAGTGCTCACTCATCTTTCTCCACTTCTAAACAACCTGAAGTCAAAATAGCTTAATCTTTAAAGTCTTCTGTTCTTAAATATACTTTCTGTGATCTCTAGATGGCAGTGTTACTTAGCTTTCCTTACACTTATATCCTGGTTACACTGTATCCCTGTAGCTTAAAAAGTGAAAGTAAGCTCTCTGTCTTTCCATCTGCCTGGCCGGAGAAGCTGCACCCATCATCGGCTTAGATAGTCCCTCAGAGGACCCTCAAACTGAACCACCCCAGCAAAGAAAGAAAGAGGGGGCTTGCTTTTAAGAATGCATCTTCTAGAGAATTTTCCAAAATTAAAACACGTTGAAAGTAAAAAAAAAAAAAAAAAAAGTGAAAGTAAATAGGAGTCAAAAGAAACAAAGTACTCCGGAGGTTTTAAACTTAAAAACAAAGTTCAATTTTTTTCTTAAATTATTATTTTAAAGTCCAGTCCAGTCCAGTTAGTCAAAGCAAAGAAGCACACAAAGTATTCTTTTTTTCCCCCAAGAAAATAAAAAGTCCAGATAAAGTTTGACAGCTCCCCGTACATCTTGCTGCTACCCTTAACTTTTCTGTCTTCTTTCTTTCTTTAGTAATTCTTTCACTTTAGGGTACTCTTCTATCTTTTTTTTTAGAAAAAAGGAATTTCTCACTCAAACTGACAAACCTTCTTCTGGTCTTCTTCCGTTCCGGGGCTGGCACAGCTTCTTAGCGGCTCAGGATTAATGGCCGCTTCCCACCAGGGGGCTTTCCTGGATCAACTAGGGACTTTGTGATGTCCCTGGGATTGACAGGATGTGCTCCTTCCACTTACCGTCTCTCGGGACCGTTTGGGTCCACTGTGACAGTCCAGCTGCAGGGGTATTGGCGGCTTTCACCAGAGTTCCGAGAAAGCCGTCTTTCCGCTGCTGTTCAAACCCAGCCCTCAGAATAAAAATCCTTCTATTCCCCACCATCCAGTCACAGCTGAAGAAGCTTCTTGGATGAGAAGCAAAAATATCTTCAAAGAAAAACAAGAACATCCAGTTGCCTCTTGGAAAAGCAGCTTTGGAACAACTATAATCATTTAACCAAGCTTTTTGTACTTATTGCTGTTCAGTTTGCTTATAGATAGTCCTCAACTTACAACCATTCATTTAGTGACCATTTAGAGTTATAATGACACTGAAAAAAGTGACCTATGACCATTCACACTTTTGACCATTGCTATATCCCTGTGATCACATGATCAAAATTCAGAAGCCTGGCAACTGGCATCTATTTATAACAGTTGCAGTGTGCCAAGGTCAGTGATTATCTTTTGCAATTTCTGACAAAAACTCAATGGGAAAGCCAGACTCACTTAATAACCATATTGTTAATTTAACAACTACAGCAATTCATTTTACAACTGTGGCAAGAAAGGTTGTAAAATGGCGCAAAATTCATTTAACAACTGTTACATAGCAACAGAAATTTGGGAGTCAAGCATAAGTCAAGGACTACCTGTATTATTTTCGCCTATGAAAAAAATATTTGTTTTTCAGTTTCACCCTAATTGCACTATTGTATTCAATTTGTTGACCTCTTGTGAATGATTGAAATTTCTTTAACCTTCTTACAATATTTCTAGATATTTTGCATTTTATTAAAAAACATTGTGTTCATTTTGTGATGACTCTGATACTAGACTTTTTAAAAATTCCTTATAGCTATGGATGCTTTCCTTTGTGTTGCTTCATTCACATTTAAGCATGAACATTGTATAGGTGACTAGTGGCATGGGTAGCAGAAATGATGCAAATTACTAAAATGATGTATGGACCCAACATTCAGTTTTTCTTGGTGCACAAACATACCACCTTGTATGAAGATTTTCATTAAAAACTCAAGTTATTCTTGTAAATGCTAAAAAAAATACCCTATAGCCAAGATAACTTGATTGGTGTGATTCCTCTTTTTTAGTTCAACCTCATTTAAAATCTTGGCTATGATAACTTTTATTGCTTACAGGCACTACCAAGGAAGGAGGAGCTGGTGCTGTTGATGAAGATGATTTCATAAAGGCATTTACAGATGTTCCTACTGTACAGGTAAAATGCTGTGTTTTACTGACCTCTGAAGGATGGAAGGCTGAGTTAACTTTGAACCAGTCAGGATCAAACTCCAGGCTCTGGGCAGAATTAGCTTAGATTACTATATTCTAACCACTACACCACCATGGCTCCTGTATGATTCCATAATTGTGGCATCACCCAAAACTTGCTAATTCTGTTTTTTACCATTTGAAGAATGTATAGATTGGCCATGGCTAAACCACAGTGTCAGGTGAGGCTCCATTCAAAATCCAAGAAAGAAAACCTTAGACTCCATTGTTTTAGAGAAAATGACTTTTATTGAAAATTAATATGGTAGCATCAGAAGAATAGAAGATCTGAGGCAATAGGCATGAAAATCACATATACAAAGTTATGCCAGAGTTCCCACCCCCAATAGTTCAAACTGGCCATCCAATCTGAGATGTATAATGTCATGTGGGGCATCTTCAGGTGGTGTTTGAGAGCTCTAGTACACCAGGACGGTTGACCTTGGCCTGAATAGATAAGAGGCTACAGCTGTGCAGTAAATAAGTAAGCATAGTCAAGAAAACATCCCAAGTTTTACATTTCACCATCTCAAGCCTCCAGCACTCTCCCCCCCCCCCCCCCCAGTGGCCCAATTATTCTTCCCTCCCCCCACCCTGTTTCTATGGCAGCCGGAAAGATAAGCAGAAGAAGGCTTCTTGAAGGCTGACAGACAGTTTTCTTAACCACAGTGCATTCAATAAGATACAATGACATATTAAGCCATTAAGCATTCCAAATCTAGTGACTGTTTTGGATAGTGTGGGCTTAGCACCAGAACAAATACTCCATACCATAAGCAAATATTGTACACTATAAATACAGTATCAATATCATCAAAGTGTATTTATCACACGAAGTATCCAGAGCTCGAAAAAGTAAGTTATACTTCAAATTCATTCAATACCATCATTTATCTTAGTGCAAGTACCGGGAGAGTACATACACTCGTTTATTGTAGGTTTTACTGTTTTAATCTTTCTAAAGCCTGCATCCTTGATTAGTTATTTTTAGATTTGCTGTTCATTGCCAACAGAAACATTGGACCATGAAGTTTGAGATGTGGAAATAAAACAACCCCAGAATATACATTATAGGGTTACTGTAAACAGTTCTCACTCTATTATTTTTGTCACCGTAATATACCTAAAAACAAAAAAACTGCTTTGGTGGTCCTCGACTTACAGCAGTTCATTTAGTGACCATTTGAATTTACAACATTACTGAAAAAAGTGATTTACAACCATTTTCAATATTTACAACAATTGCAACATCACCACAGTCACGTAATCAAAATTCTGATACTTTTCAACGGATACATATTTTGTTGCAGTGTCCTGGGGTTATATGATCACCTTTTGTAATCATCTGACAAGCAAAGTCAATAGGGAAGCCAGATTCACATAACAGCTGTGTTGCTAAGAACTGCAGTAATTCACTGAACAACTGTTGCAAGAAAGGTTGTAAAATGGGGCAAAACTCATTTAACAAATGCCTGGCTTAGCAACAGAAATTTTGGACACAATTGTCATAAATCAAGGACTACCTGTATAAAGGTAAATGATACATATTATGTTTGTACTTTTACATAGGTATTTGAAATTTTCACCCTCTAAAAATGATGAGCTACAAAGCTGATGGACTATCCTTGCTCCTGTCACAAATTCTTAGTCTGAGAAAAAAAATGAAGATTGTTTTATTTGCTTTGTTGTTGAAAAGCTTGGAACACTTCTGCAGAACAGAACCATGCCCCAAACGTTTTCTACCATTCTTTTGAACTTAAATTTTAAAACCGGACTCAGGGGGGTGTTTTGTTTTTTTTAACTTTTAAAATTTAAAAGTGGAACTAGGAATACTTGTCTGACCTCATGGGAAAGGGACAATGTCCAAAAAAAGATGCTTTGATTCAAAAGCCAAACAGAAATGATGGCTCCCTGATTCATGAGAAACAGGATAACACTTATCTAAAATCAGAACTTAAAGCTATTATTTATCACATTTTGAAGTTTAAAACTAGCAGTTAAATATTAGCACAAGAAAAAATGCCATTTTCAGGCCAGAGACATTTAAATAGGACTAAAGACTTTGGACTAATTCTGGCTATTCAGTGCAGTCAGGTTAGGGAAGCTCCAAGAATTTCCATTGATCTAGTTACAGTGGTTCCCAAACTTTTTCAGTCCACCACCCCCTTGGTGGTATAAACTCATCCTCAGTGACCCCCACCCAGGGGTGGGATTCAAATTTCTTAACAACTGGTTCTGTGGGCATGGCCTAATTTATGGGCGTGGCTTGGTGTCATGTGACTGGGTGGGCATGGCTTGGTGGTCATGTGACTGGCAAATCAAATATAAATGGTCCTCGCTTAATGGCCGGTTGCTTAGTAAGTGTTCTAATTTATGACTGACCTCACCAGAGCTACTTGACCTGTTTTTGGAGTTTTGACAGCCATGCACACACACACACACACGCACACGCACACACACACACACTCCTAACCCTGTTCGAGCAGGTGGTTGGACTAGATATCTCATTCACTTTCTCCTCCCTCCCTTCCTTCCTTCCTTCCTTCCTTCCTTCCTTCCTTCCTTCCTTTCTTTCTTTCTTTCTTTCTTTCTTTCTTTCTTTCTTTCTTTCTTTCTTTCTTTCTTTTTCTTTTTCTTTCTGTCCCTTCCTTCCACCTCTCCCCTCTTTCTTTGTCTATCCTTTTTCTTTCTTTCTCTCTCCCTTTTTCTTTCCCCTTTCTCTTTAATTTCTTGTCTCTTCCTTCTCTCTCTCTCTTTTTCCCTCTCCCTCCCTCCATATCCCATTCACTTTCTCCGCCCTCTTTCTTTCTCTTTCATTCCCCCCCTCTCTCTTTCTCTCTCTTTCTTTCTGTCCCTTCCTTCCATCCCCCCTCTTTCTTTGTCTATCCCTTTTTTCCTTTCTCTTCCTTTTTCTCTCCCTTTTCTTTCTTTACTTTCTTGTCTGTTCCTTCTCTCTTTCCTCCTCTCTCTCTTCCTCTGTCTTTCCTTCTCTCTCTCTTTCTTTTTTCTCTCTCTCTGGAGTCCAACTGCACCGAAAAAAACATGCAGCGGCTGGAGATTTTTTGCAGTGAAAATTGCCGACCTCTGGCTTTGCTCTGCTTTTCCAACGTGCCGCTGTGGCTGCATTCTAGGTGTGACCCTGCAGGTTCACCCCATTGAGCCCGCTGCACCGGCGGGACTTGCACAAGCAAGTCCGAGCGGAGTGGTGCAGCAGTCAATGGGGTGAGCCTGCATGACTGGTGACTAGAACGAGGCAGCGGTGGTGCTTTGGAGAAGCAGAGCAAAGCTGGAAGTCAGTAATTTTTGCTGCAAAAAACCTCCAGATGCTGCGTGTTTTTTTGGTGTAGCTGGATTCCAGCTGCACCGAAAAAAGCACATGGTGTCTGGATACTTTTTGCAGCAAAAATTACCGACCTCCGGCTTTACTTGTTCCACTTCTCCAACGCACTGCTATGGCCGTCAGCAATTGTTGTGCATGCGCGCAATGTCGCGCATGTGCAATAAGGACTGACTGGGCAGGGAACGGAGGAGCGGGCGGAGAGGAGCAGGGCCAGCCAGGGGCCCATTTTACCGGTTCTCCAAACTATCGGGAATGGTAATGAACCAGTAGAATCCCACCCTTGGATTGCGCCCTGCAAGGGGCCCACTCCAGCGCCCCCACCCCCTCTTAGCGCCCCCTGCCAGCCCCCCTGCCTCTTAGCTCCCCCCAAGGCATCCCACCACCCCCTAGGGCCGGTACCTCTCACTTTGGGAACCACTGATCTAGTAGGTGAGGAGGCACAACAGAGCAAAGGCTTTACTTGTTTTCAGTTCTAAAAATCTAGTTTAATTGCTAAGACTAAAAGTATATCCGCATTGTGCCTCAGTAACAAGTAATTTACAAGGTTGAGAGAAGTCTTTTGTCCTTCATAACTGACCACTGTGTCTCAGAGACTGCACATTCAGAAGCCCCCTTTTTTTAGGATGGGAGGGTAGGGGTTTATCCAGTTCATCAACAGTAACGGCACTGTTCATATTAGTCTCAATTTCCCCTGGAATGCACTAGTCCACAGATCTTTTTTTCTAGGTTTGATCTTCCAGGTCTTTTTCCTTACATCAAAATTTAAGGATTATATAATTTAAAGAAATTCAGGCAGTAATATAATTTCTCTAACATAATTGCAAAGTAATTTATTTTTACCTATAGAGTTTTATTATATGGTAAACATGAAAATGATACGATGTTTGAATAACTTTCCAGACATCACATTTCTATAGTATATAATAATTTAAAAACTACTTAAGAGTTATTTTGCTATGTTAATATATGCTCTTGTATTATTAGGTTGTCCTCTCTGGGCTATTGCAATATAAGCAAGTTGGCTTTTATATAATATATAAAGTTATGAAGTCAACATTTTTATCACAACTGTGATTATTGACTTTTCACAATTGTTTTGTGTTAAGTAATTCAGTATCCCAGAATATTTTGTGCATTTTATATTTTTATGCACTACTTCCAGTCTTCTTGGGTATTTACTGAAACAGAATTATTATCTTTCCATCAGTGCTCATTTCATTGTACGTTTATTGTTGAAAAATGATATAATCTTGCTTAACATTTACACTGTTTTCTTATGATTTAGTTCTACATTCTAAAAATATATGAACCGCTTTGTTATATTTTCTTATCAATATCCATTTATTTTTCTTAAAATCCCTGTGCTGTACCAAAAAACCAGATTCATTTCCCATTGCTTTCCCTCATTTATGACATTGCATTTCACATTAATTGATTCATAGTTGAGAAGGAATTATCAAAGCTATTAGCAAATAATTAACCTTTGCTAATCATGAAATCTCTTCATGCTAAGAGAGTTCATGGAAATGTAAGAGTGTTACATTGGGCACCTCCAATTAACAAGCCATCCTGCAAAATAGAAGTCACAACTGCTGCACTAGCTATAGAAGACAGTCTTACCTAGCTACTTAATTTTTTTTTCAATTATTTACTGGGCAAGATAATGGATTTGACTGGAAGTTTCTTTTTCAGATATATTCTAGTCGTGAACTTGAAGAAACACTAAATAAAATCAGGGAAATCTTGTCAGATGATAAACATGATTGGGATCAGCGCACTAATGCGGTACATCTATTTTTTAAATTTTACATATTTTTAAATGTGATTATATAATTCATTGCAGCATATTTGCATTTAGAAAAGTTAATATTCTTATTTGCTCTTTCACTACCCCAGCTTAAGAAGGTCAGGTCATTACTTGTTGCTGGAGCTGCGCAATATGATGGCTTTTTCCAGCATTTACGACTGTTGGATGGAGCATTTAAATTATCTGCTAAAGATCTCAGATCACAGGTGGTTAGAGAAGCATGCATCACAGTAGCGTAAGTATAGATCAAGAAAACGAAGTGCCTTGCTGAATTTAACTGAGTATTGAGAGTCCTGTTGGAAATATGCCAGATGTGCCTTGGTTTTTTTTTTTTTAAATTTCTATACAGTTAGTCCTTGATTTATGACTATTTGCTTAAAAATGCTTTGAATTAACATCAGCATTCAAAAGACCTTTAAAGTGTTTCTGACCATTAAAACATGTCACCACGAAATTGTAGGAACATGATTGTGATCTGGATGCTTGGCATCCTGTTCACACTTACAGCTGTTTTCCATCAATCATTGTGATGACCCAAGGCATGGCACAAAGGCAACACAGTCAGATAATCAGTAGGAGTCCCTTTATTAGCTCCAACTTTGCCTCCAATGTCCTGGTTACCTTCTGGCTGGAGAAAAACTGTCCCAGGAGCAGCCTTTGGCTGCAGAGAATCAAGTCCAAAATGTGGACAACAAAAACTGTAATTATAAGTCCAGTCTAGTTTGGCAGGGCAGGATCAAGAATTCCAGATGTGAAGGCAATAACTCAGCACGGTTGGGAAGATGCCAGGAACACAGATAACCAAAGTCAACACAGGATAAATTCACGTTTGCTCCCAGTAGCAGCCACACTCAGCATGCATCTCTTTTAAACTCTTCCTAGCTGTGGCTAATGAAGGGAATCAGGCCCTTTCCTTCCCCATAAGCCAAGCAACCCATGTTGCTCTCTTCTCCGTTCCTCCCTTTGTGCCCTAGGATGAAGAGGGGGTGGGGTGGGACTTCCTCTGAACTCCCTCTCCCTTGTTCTACCTCTCCCATGCTCTGCCTAGCCGGACTTTGCCCTTCCACAGCCAACAGAACCACACTCCCACTCCCTGTCAGCTGTTCGTCTTCCTCCTCAATTCAGACTCCAATAGGGCCATGACAATCATGTAATCACCACTTGACAATATTCTCTGCAGATTCCCTGAAAGTCGAATTGAAAGATTGCAAGCTGCTGCTGCCTGCCAAGAGGACTCATTCTTCTTTCTGGGGTTTTTAGAAAGAGCTGTCTGTTGAAAGATTTCTGTTATGTTCCTGCTTTGAGTTCAACAATTCAAACAGGCAGAGAACTGAAATTCTTTGGTAGGGAGAGCTCTTTCAGCTAGCCCCCAGAAGTAAGACAGAGCTAAAATCCATGCAGGATTTTTGGTCCCTGAGCAAAGAAGTATCACATGCCTCTGGAAAATGGGGGAAGCCTGATGCAGGCCATGCGCTAGTTCGGGCTAAAAATCTTGCTTGGATTTTCAGTGGAGAAGCAGTGTGTTAAGTTAAGAATAATGGGCTGCCTCGGGGAAGGGAAGACCTTGGCAAATAAGGTGCAATCTGTGTGTGTCTTTCCTCTTGGGCTGAAAATCCTGTTTGGATTTTGGCAGGGAAGATTTTCAACTACTGAACAGAAAGACATTTGCATGCAGCCTGTATTTTCAGAGCCTCCCCCATCCACCCGAGGCACCTAGGACTTCAACCCCTGAGAGCTCCTAATGACCACAACAGGAGTGCCAGGATTTCAGTTTTTAAGCAAAGCCATCACATGACATCTCACTTAATAACCACTTCTCTCATTGACTGAGAATTGTGGTGGTAAGTTGAGAACTACCTGTATAAATAATGTAATTAACAAAATACCTGCATAAACAATCTGTTTTGTAACACAGCTCAAAGTTAAGTTAGCCATTTAACTGCTATGACTTACAACTATAATACTGGGCTTAATTACAATCATAAGTTGAGGACTTCTTCTAATAGGGTTTAGCTGGGTGCCTGCTGAAAATGTTTGTTCTTGCACTCAGAGGATTAAACAGTGTTTATTTGTTCATCTTCCTTCTTGTAATTCTGAACGTGCAAGACATTAAAGTGCCTAGGTAAGGATAAACTTCGCATTATTATATTCATAATATATATTATATTCATAATATATTCATAATACTATTCATAATATAAAGTGTTTAGCTTTTTTAGAGGTATAGGCAGTTTGTTAAGGAATCTGAAGTTGGCTTGTGTACGTCCACTTCTTTCTATCATCCCTGTTTAATGTTTCATATTGCTGAATGCATCATTCAAGAAGAGGAAAATCCACATTTGCTCCTAAATTGTGCTGTATATGAAGTTGCCCTAGATTTTAAATATTTTGATTTATAATTTAATCACTATAGCAAATTTGAAGATGCTGGATGATATAAATATATGTATGCATACAGGTAATCCCTGGGTTAGAAGCGTTCCCTTAGCAAACATTCGAAGTTACACAATAAGTGCCCCCTAGCATTTATAAAGAAGTCCTGAAATTATAAATATTGCAGCACCACGGCAGTTGTTCACTCTTACAAATGACCACAGAGGCTCTGCAACATTCACCCTGCCTATTCCCCCCCTCCACTTCACCTGTGGAGACTCACTTACTTTGTGAAGATCTCCTTTGTATCACAGTTTATTTGCCGACTTCAAGCTTTTGGTGCATTCGTAGAGAACACAGACCTAATGTACTGCAAGATCATGCAAGATCAGTAGAGCAAGATCTTGTGCTATTGATCTTATATGATCTCACACTGTAGGTCTCTATTGTCTGTAAATTGAAGTCTGGATGTTTGCAAATGGAGAGAAGGCTTCAGTCCTTCAGGCCTTCCCTCTGTTTGCCATTTCCTTACCGAAGCCTGCAGGAAGATTGTGTTCCTGTAGACTTTGGCAGCCATTTGCAAAAAGCTTTGGTTGGCACCAGCGGAGCTTGGGAGCTTGGCACCACGGAGCTTGGCACCAGCGGAGCTTGGGAGGAGCAGGCAAAAGAAAGGCTTTTGGAAAAGGGTTTCCCGAAACATAAAGGGATGCAATCTTGCAGTGCTTGGCCAACAAGAAAGGAGGCCCAGAGGGCCGTGTGCGGCCTTCCAGACCTCCTTTCTTGCCGGCCATCCGCTTGATGAGGCTTCTGGTGCTGAAAAAGGAATTTCCTTCCCCACCCTGAGATATGTGCACTTAATGAGCTGTGCATTCAATTAGCAAATGCGTGAGAGAAAGCAGGAAGTGATCTTGTTCAAGATACAAGATTCACCTCTACGAATCCTCGGGTTATGAATGGAATGGGCAGGCTCCATTGCATTCATAACTCAAGGACTACCTGTATATAAAAATGATTATAGTCTGGTATTCTAGATTGAATTCCAACTTTATTGCAACTTTTAAAAATGATTTAAAAGTACTAAAACAAATCAGTAAATGGCATTTGTCTCAGGTGCTAATTATCTATTTAATCCAGCAGGATCAAATAGTATTGAAATAACTGTGTCTATGTAAATTTATTTACTTAATAATTTGTCTTTCAGTTTTTGCAAATAGATCCAAAAGCCCATATGGTTCCACTGGATTAAGCACTAAAATTACAATTACAATTTAATCATTGAGTAAATGATTAAAGTGCACAACTAAAATCAACATGAGATAAACAGATATAGATTGCAGGAAAAACTAACATAAAATAGTAACATAATAGTATAATAAAAGATTTAGTATACCAAAATGGATATATTTGGTACCAAAAAGACATTAAATAAGCAAGCCTTCCTTAAGGGATTCAAAAAGGAGACCAACATTGAGAAGGCGCACAGTAAGCAGGATCGCTACATACAATCCTAGAACCCTACAAAAAGATGTATTCTTTGAAACACTGTATTCCTAAACTGCATGTGGCATGATTGGTTAATACAGTATCTTGAATTTTATATAAGAAAATTGGAACCATTAAAAATAGTATAAAGTTAGTTTACTGTTGTAGCATCTAGTTCCACTTAATAGTTTTGCTGACATACTATTTATAACTACGCATGCATACATACTCATCTCAGTATTTCCTTCCAAAATAAATTATGCAAAATTATGCAAAAAGTTATGCTTATATTCTAATTAATTTAACATCTTTTTCATGTAACCATAATTTTCTTTTCCTTTTCTCTAGATTTATCCATTGTTTGTGTATGTGTGTGTGTTTCTGTTCGATCATCCATTCTCTATAGGAACAAATCACTTGGATGTATTTCATTCTGATTTGCCATTCATTTTTATATTCAGTCCTTTAGTCCAGCGGTCGCCAACTGGTGGGCCCTGAGAAAATTTTGGTGGGCCGCAGAGAAATCTCACCCCCAGAGCACCCCCCCCAAAGCAATTAATCCAGGCTGCGCAGAAACACAAGTCTGTGTCACCCACATGACCCGTAGGAACCCTCCCCGCCCACTCACTCCTTACCCGGCAAACTTGCCTGCTAAATTGCTATTTTTCCTTTTTCCGTCCATCATCTGTTCTGCTGTGCCGGGAGATTTAAATTAACTAGGAAGCAGGAAATGGTTGTATTTCTTGCTTTTTAGCTAGTCTTTAGATCTTCGGCTCTACTTTTAAGCACAGCCAAACCTCCCTTATGACTAAAGGTTCTATTATTCAGTGCAGACTCACAGTAAGTAAATTTGAGAGACTGAGCTAGCCGATGGCAGATAGATAGATCACTGAATGATTCTGTGAGCAACTCAATCTGCCTACCTGCTTTGCGAGATTTTGGGTAAAAGTTGCTCTTTTTTAATTAAAAAAAATCAATATTTAAATACGTGGTGTATTGTGAGTTAATTTTATGAGTTTGCTTGCAAGCAAATTTTATGTGACAGATTGAGCTAGCCCATGGCAGATAGATAGATTTCTGAATGAATCTGTGATTCTATGAGCAACTCAATCTGCCTGCCTGCTTTGCCTGATTTTGGGTAAAAATTGCTCTTTTTTATAAAAAAAAATTCAATATTTATATAAATATTTATAATATTTACATACAAGCCATGCCCAGCCAGTCACATGACCACCAAGACACACCCACAAATTTGGCCACGCCCACAGAACCGGTTAGTGTCCCTGGGATTTAAAATTATGAGTTTGGTGGTCCCTGAGGTCCAAAAGGTTGGTGACCCCTGCTTCAGTCTATTATACTTGACTCCATCTCTAGTTGTGT